TTGTGGGTTTCTCAGCAAATGGGAACCTCTAGTTTGTTCACAAAAAGCTTAAAGGAATAGTTCAGCCAAACATGCATATTCTGTTATTAATTAGTGAGAATGAGATTTGACAGCGATAGAGAAGAGAAAGATTTCTCATGAATAAGGACCTAAATTTGAGGCTGTTCCACAAAGAAAGATAATTTACAGTTCTGTTAGGGTCAGTAAGATTTTTTATATTTTTAAAAGGCGTCTCTTTTGCTCATCAAGGCTGCATTTATTTGATCAAAAATACAGTAAAATCAGTAATATTCTGAAATAATATTACAATTTAAAATAACGGTTTTCTATATGAATATATTTTAAAATGTAATTTATTCCTGGGATCAAAGCTGAATTTTCAGCATCATTACGCCAGTCTTCAGTGTCACATGATCTTCAGAAATCATCCTAATCTGCCGATTTGATACACAAGAAACATTTCTGATTATCATCAATGTTGAAAAGAGTTGTGCTGATTTATACATTTGTGGAAACCATGATAAATTGTATTTTTCAGCATTCTTTGATGAATAGAAAGGTCAAAAGATCAGCGTTTATCTGAAATGCACTGATACCACTTGTTCCAGAACGAGTTTGTTACTTTTATTTTTGTTACTTGCCGATATCTGATACCTGTATTTTCACTGCATTTGTCATTTTTAAAAATAGAAAAAAAAAGAATCATGTTAGCTGGCTTCATTTAGCAAACAGATATTTCCTTCAGTTATTTTCACACTTAATTCTACTCGCTAAAATGTGTTGTACAAGCTTTTGTTACTTTCACGGTTTATTTTATTGCTTATTATACATAAATCTCGCAACAGCAATGAACATATTTTCTGAAATAAAAGTCACATTTTTTTTATCATCAGAAACGTGCTGTGACATATTCCAAAGCGGCTCATATAATGCAATTAACGTCGAGCAAGCAAAACATGCGCAAAGCATTTCTAGGCTGCTACTTTCACTTTTAAATCAAGTCGTGTATGCTGGACGTTTAAAATAAATGTTGTTTATAGTGAATGCCCCTATCATTTTTGCTTGTTTAATATTTACAATTTCGTTTTAATCCAAATGATGTGTGTGCTTCTTTTTGTTTTTGGTCTGGACACAGCACTTTTCACACGCTGTGTGGTATTGGAGCATTTGAATGAGTACGAGTACAGGAGCGCATTATCGTTATCAGTGCACCCCTAATTATAAATGTCTTTAACTGTCACTTTTGATCAATTTAATGTTTCTTTGCTGAGTAAAACTGTTGATTTCTTTCAAAAAATGGCAGTGTGTGTATGACCTTAAAAGACTTAGAATATAACGCATAAGCTGTATGGACTACTTTTAGTGTTTTATGGTATTTCTGGTCCTTTTTGGAGCTTAATAGCATGTGATCACTGTTTAATTTCATTATATGAACAATAATCAGCATGAACATTCTCCAAATCATCTCTGTTGTGAAGCAGCAAAGTCATGTGTTTGAAACGTGATCGTTAGTAAATGAGTTTTCATTTTTGCTTGACTCCCTTTAAAACAACAAAACAGGCATTAATAAACACAGCAATGTGGGAATGTGGATCAAAATGTGTTTTGAAATTACCTGCAGGAAGAGAAAACTGGCATCTAAGGAGCGGGCGAATAACAGGAACTACTAAAAATACAAGCATTCAGTATCCAAAGCCCTGTCTAAAAATGGACCAGCATAAGCAATGAAGCCCTGTGACTTTCTGTGTGTTATGAGCCATCGAGGAAGTGTGACAGAAACCCCACATGTGTACAGCAAAGAACACACACACACACTGACTTGGGTCATCTGTTAGGGTCATTTAGCGCGAAACGGCTGATGGTGGAAACCATTGAACTGATCTTTCCTTGCGACTTAGATGGACGTTCATGCATTGATTGCAGGATGTGGACTAGATTCCATCAGTCTTATCTAAAATGGACCATTTTCAGTAATGAGGCGATGTTTACATGCACGGACACACACATAAAAGACGCTGACAGAGGTCAATTGGGACGTCTAATCAGAACGGCCTAACCTCAAGACATAAATGAGAAGAGTTCAGTGGCTACTGGGCTTTTTTTTCTTGTTCATACTAGTGAAAGTCACTGATCAGCAGGTGTCTGAGGGTTTAACAGTGGTTTAGGTTAGTGAATGTGGGGGACGGAGGACAAATTGCCACAATACTGTTTGTTAAGGCTCTTTTGTCATGTAAAATCTAATGACGTGCAACATGCTGAGCTACAGTAAAAGGCAGAAGACTTCACATTATATAAAACAGCACAATGACTACATAGCACATTTTTCTTCTGTAAACAGACACACAAACCTAAGATGAAAATGACTAGTGTTAAGGCAACTACTATAGTTAACCAGGTTGCTCACTTAAATTACAGCTATGTTATTTATGATACACTACCATTCAAAAGTTTGGGGTCAGTAAGACTTTTTGTGTGTGTTTTTATAAATAAACTAATAATTTTACTCAGCAAGGGCAGATTAAATTGTTCAAAAGTGACAGTAAAGACATTTATAATGTTAAAAGTTCTAATCTAATTACAAACAGAACTGAAAATCTAATTTCAGATAAGAAGCCTGAAAAATAAAATGTATCTTGTTTTTTTTTACAAAAATATGAAGCAGCTCCAGTCTTCAACATTGGTAATAATAAGAAATGTTTCTTGAGCAGCAAATCAGCATATTAGAATGATTTCTGAAGGATCATGTGACACTGAAGACTGGAGTAATGATGCTGAAAATTCAGCTTTGATCACAGAAATAAATTACATTTTATAATTTATTCACATAGAAAACAGCTATTTTAAATTGTAATAATATTTCAGAATATTACTGATTTTACTGTATTTTTGATTAAATAAATGCAGCCTTGGTGAGCAGAACAAGGTTTATTTCAAAAACATAAAAAAAATCTTACCGACCCCAAACTTTTGAATGTTAGTGTGTATATAATGTATGCACCTAAATGACGCTTCACATTTGTGTTTTTAAACCCTCAAGAATTCTTTTTTTATAAACGGAGGGATGAGCAGGCAATACAGTAATAATGAAACCAAAACTTTTAAGTCAAACAGAGGCGGTGCATGATTCATACACTGGCAACATAAACATCCACCATTTGTAGTCATTAACATAATTGTGCTCAAAGCAGAAGCAGAAACACTGAACAAGCTCCAGTGCTCGTGTTGATCTGTGCGAGCTTCCTGTGCGATAACCGATAACGTCCCAAAGAAGTGGAGCCAGATACACGCCACATAATCACCGTCTTACTTAACCTGCGGAGCTTGCAGGTCGACACACACCTGACCCCGCTTCAGACACAATCCAGAGGGTGTGTGAATGCATGAATGCATGTACACACTAGGGCTGTCCAAAAAAAAAAATTCGAATTTCGAATATTCGTTGAATAAAATTTTTTTTAAAAATATTTTTCTTACCCATTCTGTTCAGTGTTCTTTTCATCATCTCACCCTATAATTCACTGTGGGATTTTCTGCTGGACTGGAATGTTGTACAGACAGAACATCTAGAGTCACTGCGCTCTTTTAGGTTATAATCAAAAGCAGGGAGGATCAGTACACTAGGGTCTGATTCCACAGGAACAGCCTCCGTGTCAATGGCCATTACATTTTCTACAAGACACATGATGGCTGCATCAATGTTTGTGTTGTCCTGTTAAAAATAGGAAAAAATAATATGAATAGAAATTCTTTTCAAAGAGGCATCTAGTCACTAGCTAGTAGGGCTGTCAAAAAAAATTTTTAATTTCGAATATTCGTCGAATCTTTTTTTAAAAATCCACATTCGAATGCAAAAACGTTGCATTCGAATTTTAGGTCAGCGTCAGCCGTCAGGCAGCCTATCAGTGGCGCACGAAATGCTACGACCATGTAAGTGCCATTGCATTTGAATGCTTTTGTTAGCCTGTCCAGTTGAACCCAATAGATGCGGCGCTGCTACGCTGTTCATTCAATATATTGCGGAAAACGAGAGCATCAGTGTGGAGAAGAACAAAACTCAAAACTGAAACCAAGTCGTTCACACAGAAGAACGCATATTTATCACATTTTTTAGAGGGACATCTATCAGCGTTGCACTCGCGTCTCACACAAGAGAGCGGCATGTTTAGAAAGCCATGTAAAATGAATGCAAGTTCAACTTTAAAAAAACATGTCTCGAGACTTTATGGCAGTTTATTCCCCATCCCACTGTATCTCATGTTTTTAAATGAAGAAAGTAGCCTACTCTTTGTGATTGGTTTTCAGTCCTTTGTATTAAATTACATGCATGGTGCTGTTTTTTTTCTTCTAATTGTTTAAGCAACTTTATTAATTATATATGGTTTATAAGCATTATTTTAAACATTATGCCCTTTTTTTTTTTCAAAGATAGTCATGTTATTTTATTACGCTTTGAAGAAACGTGCATAATATTTTGCGTGATGCACCCTCTTGTGGCCTCAGGAGAGAAGCCAAAAGCTTTTTTCCCCCTAACTGAAATTATGCCTTTTAAATTCGAATATAATTCAAATTTTGATAATATTTAAGTAGAAAATTAGAATTTAGTTTTGCAGTCATTTTGACAGCCCTAGTACACACCCCACGCTACAGTAACACACTGTTTGATCACCAAACACTCATGGCCTCAGGAGAGAAGCCAAAAGCTTTTTTCCCCCTAACTGAAATTATGCCTTTTAAATTCGAATATAATTCAAATTTTGATAATATTTAAGTAGAAAATTTTGACAGCCCTACTACACACCCCACGCTACAGTAACACACTGTTTGATCACCAAACACTCGATGCACTAGCAAAAAGTGTTTCTCATTGTCTTAATGCTGTAATCAACACCAAAGAAGATCAAATATAACATCTGTTGTTAGTTTTGTGGCTTGTTGTCAGCTAGTCATGTGGTCAAATGATCAGTTGTGCTTGTTGTAGACAGAGAGAGTCAGATCCTCACCCTTCTCTTGAGACGGTCTCTCTCTCTCAGCGTGAGCGTGTCAGCTTTGGCGATCACAGGGACGATGTTGACTTTGCTGTGGATTGCCTTCATAAACTCAACATCCAGAGGCTTCAAGCTGGGAAATTAAGCACAGATGGAAGCACAAATCACATTAAAAAAGTGTTTAAATGTTTGGGGTCAGTAAGATTTGAATGGAATTAATATTTTGATGCATCCTTACTAAATTAAACTGATCAAAGTTTAAACACATTTATAATGTTACAAAAGATCTCAATTTCAAATAAACGTTGTTCTTTTGAATTTCTTCAAACAAAACCATTCATAAATGTTTTCAACATTGATAAAAATAAGAAATATTTTGTGAGTGGCAAATCAGCATATTAGAATGATTTCTGAAGGATCATGTGGCACTGAAGACTGGAGTAATGATGCTGAAAATTCAGCTTTGACTCACTGGAATAAAATTCCAAAATATATATTCAAATAGAAAACACTTATTTTAAATTTAAAGTACATTTCAAAATATTGGTGATTTTACTGTATTTTTGATCAAATGAATGCAGCCTTGGTGAGCAAAAGTTTCAAATATATAAAAAAATCTTAACAACCAGAAACTTTTTAACAGTAGTGTACAAATTTATGAGCACATGAGAATGAAAACAAAATGAGATGTCCAGCAAATTTCACCCTGAAATGATGTGATGCGACTTGTTTGGTTGCAATTTCTCCTGGCAATTCATGTCAGCAATAAACTTTTCTCCAAGGCCACCGAACGTTTTAATCATCATGCTCAGTGTGAACAATTAACGTGAATTTTCACTTGTGATTTTATTGGCTTTTCATTTCTCCGAGGCTTGTTTTACACTTAATGTGAATAGCATGTATGTAAAAAATCAGTTGTAATTTCTGATGGAAGATTCATGTCACTTTTAAACTTAAACTTTAAAGTGCAACGTTTTTATGTAATTTTCACCTGTGGTTTTTGTTGGTGATTCATGTTGCTTTAATGCATAACTTCTGCTGTAAACAGGCTTTAACATTTAACATCTGCAAGAATAAAATGTTTTATTGACTGATGATGAAAGGCAGAACATGTGCAGGTGTTTTACCCGTGTCCAAACGGAGAGATGAAATAAAAGCAGCAGTGCACTCTGTTGTCAACGATGTGTCTGCGGTTCAGTCCGCTCTCGTCATGCAAGTATCGCTCGAACTGATTATCAATATACTGGATGATCGTCTTAAAGCTGTCGAACAGAATAAAGCAGATATCAGAGAACAAGCTGAAAGGAAATGCTCAGACATAAAAGCTTGTGATTGTATTAAACAAGTGCATTAAACAAGCATCGGATGTGGATCTCAGCTGAACAAAACCATAATCTAATCATGAGATATCTGGATGCACTTAGAAATGACAAACAGCCACTTTGTCCAAATAAAGCTTATAAAACGCTCCACAACATCATGTTTACAGGTTCCTGTCCAGCATAGACGGACCACATGCACCAGCGATAACTTATTTTCATGGAGATCTTAGTATAGATTTTAATATTTTGATATCTTTAATATTTAATAGTTTTTATTTTAAATGTAATTAAATGTTAATAATTTAGTTTTTTTGTAATTGTTGTTAGTTGGAGTTTTTTTTTTTTTTACATATTTATACAGTTTTTAATCATTTTTATTTCAGTTTTAGTTTTTTAGTACATGAGGTTAAATAACAAACAATGATTAAAACATTTTTTATATTTTTTTTATTATTATTGTTTTATTTTTTTTACAGTTTTAGTTTTTTAGTACATCAAGTTAAAACTAAAAATGAGAAATGCTGACTTGGCTGGAATAATTTTAAAAATGTTTTTCTATTTTATACACACGTGGTCAGAATTGTTGGTACCCTTGGTAAATATGAACAAAGAAGGCTGTGAAAATAAATCTGCATTGTTAATCCTTTTGATCTTTTTTTTTTTTTTTTTTTTCACAAAAATCTAACCTTTCATTGGAGAATAAGAATTTAAAATGGGGGGAAATATCATTATTAAATAAATTATGTCTAATACACATTGGACACAATTACTGGTACCCCTAGAAATGTAATATATACATACAGTATATTTATAAAAAAAATATAAAGTTATTTTTAACTATAATTAGCCTAACTATAATTATTGAATGCATCAACTCTCAGTTCTCTAAAGTCTCGCCACCAGCTTCCCTTTTGCTCTACAGTCTCTTGACTTATCTTAACACCACATTCTAAGCTAAACTAACCCCCTAACCAGAACTAAGCCACTTCTGTGTCTTCTGATAGACCTCATGCATGAATTGGGTTTGAGACCGCAGCCTTATCGAGAGGTTGAAGGAGAAGAAGACATGACATGACAGTAGGTAGGTAACATGGATGGCACATTTTCATTATCAGCCTGAGAAGTCTGTGGGTGAGAGATGGGGAGGATATTGTTCTTTCAAACAAGACGTTTCCAGCATTCCTCAGCAAGGCTCAATGACCAATAGAGCATCAAGAGACAACAGCTGCCTCCAGTCTACAGTCAAGTGCCATTGTGTAAATAATCTGTTATGCAGATACACAAACACAAAACATCGGGTATTAAATTAATTATCAGTCCGGTCTACCATTCAAGAGGTCATGGTTATATGCAAGTTCTAATTTAATGGTAGATATCTGTGATAATAAACAGCTAGTTCACCTATCTAAGAGACACAACAGCAGCACTAATGCAAGTGCACTCAAGAGTAAACACACATTATGTTTAAGGAAAATTAAAAGTTGGAATGGGCCAAGATGGCATCTGGTCGAGATCTACTGCTTTATTTTAAGCAACAGATCTTTAATATGCATGCTGTGATTTAGCTGTTAGACAGTTTGGATGGTAGAAAACTTAACATCTCTAAATGCATCAACTTTAAAGCAACATTCAAACATAATTTGATGCATGCATACAAATTATTTGAATTTTTTTTGAGAATTCTGCCATTAGCATTGCATTTCTAATACGCAAGTTAAAATAGTCAACATTTTTAAATTACATGACAAGTTGCCTGAATCTGTTGTCCAACTAGCAGTTTTTGAATGCAAGCGATGTCTAAGACAAAACGGTTTTCTTTAAAAGTGCAGGTGCTTGTTTATTTTTTACAATGAAACGTTGCCTTGATGTTTAGTTATCTAAAGTAATGATGTTCAGAAGTGTGATTTAGGTGTCCAAATACTAAGACATTTTCAGATTCTATGTATAAATAAATGAGTCAGTTATGATGGACAATGTACAGTTATGAATGTTTTAATTGTTCAGGCTGAATATAGCCTGTGGGAAAAAACAGTTCTTGTGCCTGGCTGTTCTGGTTGTCGGTGCTCTGTAGTATCGTATTGGTGTTTCGTCCAGACGGATCTGTCGTTTTGGGAGCCTGAAACCGCTATAATATATACGCTATAAGCCAAGCGTATATTTTGTGAACGATAATGTCATCACCCCACGTCTCAACCCTATTCAGACACCGCTATGTCATGTAACAGCAACAACAACAATTGCGGACAACATGCTAGTGTTCGTGCTGCAGAAGCTAAAGAGCCTATTAGCTTTACTAAAGCAAAATCCAAAATTACTAATGCAAAAATTTTTGTATACAGCGCGCAAGGTTTATGCGCATGCTCCTAGTCATCTTCTCCATTTTTAGTGTATCTCTGTGGCAGAATTACAGCACCAAATACTGGTCTGGCTTGTATACTACGTCGTTTTAAGTCGGTTTCAGTAGTTTCGTGTGTCCGCAAATATTTCTTGAGACGACACCGTCTCTTTTTTTTTCAGTTTTTTTTTTACAACGAGGAAAAAAAAAGGATCGGATAGGATAAGCTCTGGCTTTGTGTGGATGTGGCCCTAGTCTTCTGTCTTCTGAAGACCCGGTTCACATCCTCGACACAGACCTTAAGCGCAGGTTGAATGGTGGGTGAGGGAGGGAG